CTTCTGGTTGCTGCACAATGGTGGAGGGTGGGGTTTCACTTAAGTAGGGCTTATATTACGAGCATCCTGAAAAATCATAGTAGGGCTGATTTTCAGGTTAGGTCTTATTTTTGGTGAAACAGGGTACATAGTTATATACAGTACTAGTAAAAGGTAAAGGTTCCCCTTGACAATTGCCCAGTCATGTCTGACTCTAGGGGGCGGTATTCATCCCTGTTTCCAAGCCAGAATTTTGTCCATAGACAATCTTTCGTGATCATGTGGCCAGCGCAACTAGACCCGGGTCCCACTGTGGTGGTACTTATTTATCTATTTGCATGTTAATGTGACTTCGAACTGCTAGGTTGGCAGGAGCTGGGACAAGCGACGGGAGCTCACTCCAACACATGGATTCGAGCTGCTGATCTTCCAACTTTGCAGCCCAGAGGCTTCTGCGGTTTAACCCGCAGCACCACCCTATCCCCTCTATCCCAGTACCTGCCCCTAAGTATTTTCCTTACGATTTACAGCTCTTGTGCAAAGTCGGAACCTTCGTTGAATATATTCCTGCTCATGGATGTTGGCAAGTCTGTCTCTGAGTCTTTGGTACCGAGCCCCAAATCCCTGTTAAAAACAATATTTTTTCCCGGAGGGAAAAAAGGGAGGAGTGGGTGAGTGAGTTCTAAGTCATGAGTCGAGTCTGAATAATTGAAAGAAAAATCGAGTCGAATCACCGGCGTGACTTAAGTGTGACTTAACAGCAAGTCCTGCGACTCAAGTCCCCATCTCATGAGTTTTGTGATCTCACCTTGCAGAATTCTTTCTCCTTTTTTTGATTCTAATGCTGTACGTTTGACAGCAAGTATTTCTCGGTAATTGTAACTTTTTTGTAAAAGAAAAAAAGGAAGTTTTCTTTCCATTTAATCTGTATTTGCTTGAACAAAAGAACAAGTCTGCACTGTAGAGAGGTCTTGTAGGCATCTTTCTGTTTAAAAGGTAAAGGTAAAGGTTCCCCTTGACAATTGTTGTCCAGTCGTGTTCGACTCTAGGGGGCGGTGCTCATCACCGTTTCCAAGCCATAGAGCCAGCGTTTTGTCAGAAGACAATTTTCCGTGGTCATATGGCCAGTGCGACTTAAACACGGAACGCCGTTACCTTCCCACCGAGGTGGTCCCTATTTATCTACTTGCATTTGCATGCTTTTGAACCGCTAGGTTGGCGGGAGCTGGGACAAGCGACGGGAGCTCACTCCGTTGCGTGGATTAGATCTTATGACTGCTGGTCTTCTGACCCTGCAGCACAGGCTTCTGCGGTTTAGCCCACAGCGCCACCACGTCCCTATCTGTTTACTTGTTCAAAATATACTGTGCTTATGTTTGGTGGGGCTGAGCCCAGTTTCATAAACCACTAACAAAGCTTAGAAAAATGTTTTTTTTTTAAGAGTATAACTCTTAGAATTTCCCAGCCAGGAGGACTTTGATGGGAGATCCTGTGAGCCGTAAAGTCTACAAGTTTATTTCCAAAGTTTCACATTAGCTGTGAGTTCAGATAATATCTTGTGCGTGTTGTTACTATGTGCCATCAACTCATATGGCAACCCTATAAACAAGGGACCTCCAAAATGGCCGATTATTAAGAGGCTTGGTTCAGCTCTTGCAAAATCAAACCCATGGCTTCCTTTGTGAAGTCAACCCATCTTATCCTTGGTCTTCCTCTTTTCCTGCTGCCTAAAATGTTGCCTAGCATTACTGTATTTTCAGCAAATCTTCCCTTGAGGTGCTCAAAGTACAACAGGCAGCAGCCCTAATTTCATCACCAAGACCTTGTGTGTGTGCGCGCAAGATACTTCTCACATTTGAGGGGTCTTTTACCATAAGGTGACTTCAGTGAAAGTTAGCTCTTCAAAGTTAGCCCCACTGAATTAGGCTAGCCTTGTTTTATGCAGGCTAGGCAAGATTCTTGCCACTTTGTCACACTCTACATCAGTACCATTTCAACCTACGATATGCAGCTATTATAGGGTTCTCAGGTAGGTAGCACCCCATTATCTGTGATTTCTAGAGGCAGTCCCTTGAAATCTCATAGGTGAAAGTCCTTGCGATGTCACAGAGGTGGGACTTGCTAAACTCGGGAGGTAGAACTACCTCTTGGCCCTTTGATTGTTGGGACAGACACAAAGGGGATGATGTATAGGTAAGCCCAGATTTCAGACAGAACATAGCAGGGATGTTGGCAAATCTTTGGCTGCGAGTCCCAAGTCAGAATCTTTGGTACCAAACCCCATGTCTGAATCCCTATTAAAAACAAACTTTTTCCCCCAGAAAAAAAAGGGAGGGATGAGTGGCTTCTGAGTCACACGTTGAGCCCAAGTCATTTTTTTTAAAAATCCAATTTGTATGTCTGAATCCCTATTAAAAACAAACTTTCCCCCAGAAAAAAAAGGGGGGAGGGATGGGTGGGTTCTGAGTCACACATCGAGTCCAAGTCATTTTTTTAAAAAGCCAATTTGAGTCACTGGTGTAACTTAAGTCTGACTTGACAATTATTCCCGTGACTCAAGTTCCCATCCTTGGAACATTGCAAATTGATTAAGATAGTAAGCCAGGATCAGGGGAAAGGTATGCTTTCAGGAATTGGCTCAACTTGAACCACAAGAAGGCTCATGAGTCACAACATGGGTGCTCAACTTCTTGTCTCTATTCAGGTTACATCATGGGCCTCATGCATAATCATACCAGTTCCCTCCCTGTCTCTTCTCCTCACTCCTGGATTTCTGATGTGCTATCCCTGCACACAGACACACCCTCCTAGGCCCTGAGCCAGGGAGCCTTGACATCATCTGGGGATGAGATTTTAAAGGCATCTCTCAATGCCTTTGAGGGGGGTCCTGATTTTAAAGGCATCTCTCAAATGTAAACCTCCCCCTTCAGCTCACCACAACATTTTTATTTCCACCTAGAAAAGCAGCAGTTCCTCCCAACAGGTATCCTGAAACCTCACAATCTAATGCCAACAGTTACCCAACAGGTATCCTGAAACCTCACAATCTGATGCCAACAGTTAGAAATAAAGTGGTGCCTCGCTAAACGATATTAATCCGTTCCGTGAAAAATGCTGTCTTGCGAAAACATCATTTTGTGAAGCACAGTTCCCCATTGGAATGCATCGAAATCTATTTAATGTGTTCCAATGGGAAAATCGTCATTTTGCAAAAATTATCCATAGAAAACATCGCTTTGCGAAGGATTTAATGTGTTCCAATGGGAAAATTGTCGCTTTGCGAAAATCGTCCATAGGAAATATCATCTTGTGAAGCGCAGTTCCCCATTGGAATGCATCGAAATCTATTTAATGTGTTCCAATGGGAAAATTGTCGCTTTGCGAAAATCGTCCATAGGAAACCATCGTTTTGCGAAGCGCAACAGCGATTGCAAAAATTCATCGTCTAGTGGATTAATTGTCCCGCAACAGCGATCGCAAAAACTCATCGTCTAGTGGATTAATTGTCCCGTGAGGCAATCGCCTAGCGAGGCACCACTGTAAAATATTTGGCCCTATCCGTTCTGAATAGTTTGTGCAAAGAGCCAAAATCCTCGTTCTGGTCTGGTTGTTTGCAGGGTCTGTTCACAAACCCGAGTACTGACAAATAAACATAAATCAAGTCCTTGAGTAGAATAGCACATACATACCTTATTAAAATATGCCTTTAATACTTGTTGGCATTCCCATAAAGGCATTCCCATAAATTTACTTAGCCATACAGTATAAGAGACTACATACAGTTAAAAAAAAGATAAGTGAATAAAGATTGATGTGTATGTTGAGCTCAGTGTTGGATTGCAGAATAATGGTGCAAACTGGGGTGTCACCACCCTGGTGTCCCCTTCTCTCAGAAAGACTTCCACAAAAGACTTCTAATTGGGCAGGGTTAAGTAAGCAAGAAAATGGGTGCTCTAGATTTGAACTAGGAGGGCACTTCAACTTCCACATTCCTTGAACAGTTACAAAAAAAAACAGGTAGCGCTTGATTGTGTCCTGTCTCCAACCAAGGAGATGTATGATCTCATCTGGTAGTTGCCGGTTATTACCACTTTTAAGCTCCAGGCTGTCTGTCATCTGAAGTCCTGAGATTTGTAGTTTGGTGAGATATTTGGAATTCTCTGCTGAAAGGGAACCGTGCCCTTCAACTATAGATTTCTCTGCTAAGTACCTCCGCAAACTACAAATCCCAGCATTCCATAGGATGGTGCACTAGGAAGTTGAAGTGGACTCAAACTGCTCTGACTGGGTGGCGTAGGCACATCTGTGCAGTGAAAGCTAAAAGCAAATTTATGGTTAAAAAGGTCAAGAGTCCCCACTGATCAGAAGGTTCTGGCATTGCCTTAAGGTACCAGGGTGAGGACGGCTTTCTTGCTCACTTGAAAGAAGGGGAAAAGAATTCCTTTGCAGGCCGCTGGTATCACGGCCTGATGGATCAGGCCTCCCGTGTCGCCATCAAAGAAAGCCACATTTCTCCCGAGGCAGTTGAGAGAGATCCGGACTCTCCCGAGCGCTCCGCTATAGTTCACATAGGAGTCACCAGGGGGGCAGAAAAAGTGGACATGGCCGTCCAGCTTCCCTAAGGCATAGATCCGGGCTCCGGACTGTTGTTTAGCCAGCTGATCCTTCTTCTTCACAGATTTTCGGGCCACCCCCACAGCCCAGTTGCCCTCACTTCCTACAACCACGTCCCAATAGTTTCTGCCTGTGCCAAACCCCTCACGTCCCAGCACAGACAGACTCGCATCAAATCTCGCGGGACGCTGGGGCATCTCTTGAGGGTCATCTCTCAACCTCACACTTCTAAAGTTCTCAGAAAGAAGAAGCTGGGGGTGTGCCGTCTGGGGGTCCAGAGTCACTTTTGCTAAAAAAATAAAAATAAAAAAAAGGAAGAGGAGAACGAGATGAATCATCATGAACTAAACAGAACAGTGGGAGAGTTTGTCACATGCCGTGATGTTGCCTCAGAATATGGCGCCTCTATGAAGGAGGGACCTCCAAAATGTCTTCCACTAGGCTTTAAGGCAGTATCTCCAGTGAGAGGAAAGCTGACATATCCCAGTTCAACAAAAGGTGGAAGACCACACATCTCCCATGGGTGACTGAAAGGCTCCCAGAGTGAGGGATGGAAATTGGGTCAGAGGTTTACGCACGAAGTTCTTCATTCTCAGACAAGTTTTTTCGTTGACAGTTTCCCCCATGCAAGCTTCCTCTGGTAGGGTAGATTAGATGAAGACTTCGAATCCGACAGATTTGAAGTCTCACTGCCTTAAATGGATTGTGTGGGGGGGGATTATTTTAAAACCACAGAGGACAACAAAAACAGAAATTATAATCAACTCTTCCAACCCTAGCCCCATCCACTGAAACTGAATCGGAAGAGGACACACGGCTTTTACTCTGTGCACGGTTAAACTGTGAGATACGCTCTACCGCAAGACATGGCGATAGCCGCTAAATTGTAGAATTTAGAAGTTGATTGGATAAATTTGTGGAGGGTGAAACGATCAGTGGATCGGTGACAGCCAGTGGTGACAGGATTGGACCACGACTTAAATGGTTCAAAATGCTGCAGCCAATCTGCTGACTGGGGCCAGTTATAGGGCATGCATAGCACCCCTGCTACAATCACTGCGCTGGCTACCAGTCTGTTTTCAGGGCCAGAGCCCTGGTCATTACCTATAAATCCCTATACGGCTTGGGTCCAGACGATCTGAAGGACTGTATCTCCTCACATAAGCCTTCTCAGCCCTTAAGATCCTCCGAGGAGGCCCTCCTCTCAATCCCATTGCCCTTTCAGGTTGACTTGGTGGTGATACGAGAGAGGGCTTCCTCCGTGGCAGCCTCAACTGTGAAATCCTCTTCTTCGAGAGGTTAATTAGGTTGCCTCCCTTCCTTTTATTCGTCCGCCAGCAGCTGAAGAACTACCTTTTCAGGCAGACTTTTAACATGTAACTTTTAAAGTGAGTCCCTGGATGAGGGTTTTTAGCTTTTCAGCTTGTTAATTTATTTTTAAAGTTAATGCTTTTTAAAAAAAAAAAAAAAGTTACTGTGATAGTTTAATTTGTTCTTTTTAACCTATCTTTTTAAATTACATTTTTAATTTTACTTGGGAAGTACCTTGAGTTCTCTTATGGGGAGAAACATGGCTTATAAAGGAAACTAAATAAATAGACTCAGAAGACATGGGTTCAAGCTCCTTCTTGTTCCTCGCTGAAGGAACATGTGCCAGATACGGTTAGTCAATGACTGTTTACCTGCTTCGCAGAGCTGTTGTGAGGATAACATGCGGAGGGGGGTTGGAGGAGAGCCATGTCTTAGTTGCATAGAAATAATATCATCTCCAGTGTCAGGAGCAGCATGCTTCTGAATACCACTTCCTTGGCAGCATGAGTGGGAGAGTGGTCCTCTGCTCAACTACTGCTGCTGGTGGTGGTTTCCCAGAGATACCCGAATTGGCTCCAGTGAGGCATGAGTTGTGGAAATTCTCCCTCATTGCCTTTTCCCGCTTCTCATGGGGAAACCAAAAGGAACGAACTGTTCCCAGGACAACACCGCTGAGCTCCAGGGAGTTCCACCAAAATGGCTTCCAAACATTTTCCACCCATGAATACAGTTTGCCCAACGCTCACTCTCAGAAACCTACCTTCTTGCAAGGATAGCTGGTTTTCAAGAATGGCTGGGAAAGGAAAAGAAACAAAGCTAAACCACCATACTGTTGCCAAAAGTATTACACTTCCCTTCCTCCTCCATCCCCATTTATACAAAGTAAGGAGGTGGAGGGTTTGAGAGGATTATGAAGATCATCATTCACCTGTTTCACTCTTTAGGGCAGTGGTCTTCAACCTTGGGCCTCCAGATGTTCTTGGACTTCAACTCCCAGAAATCCAGGCCAGCAGAGGTGGTGGCGAAGGCTTCTGGGAGTTGTAGTCCAAGAACATGTGGAGGCTCAAGGTTGGGGACCACTGCTTTAGGGGATAGTGCTAAAACACAGAGCTTTCTTGAACTACAGTTTAATAAAATGAGATTCTCCCATTCATTTGGCCCAAATTTATAAACACACTTTGTTTGACTTGAAGATCCAAACAGAATATACGCAGGTGAAATTAGTGCAGAAGAGGAGGAGGATCTGTCATGGCAGAGATCACGCTTTGTACACATAAGGTCTTACAATGTGTCTGCACTACTCAGCTGTATAGTTTGACACCAAAGTAATTCTTAGGGTTCAATGCTATGGAATGTGGGATTTGTAGTTTGCTGAGGCACTCAGGCATTCTGCATGGCAGAGATCACACTTTGTACACATAAGGTCTTACAATGTGTCTGCACTACTCAGCTGTATATTTTGACACCAAAGTAATTCTTAGGTTCCATGCTATGGAATGTGGGATTCGTAGTTTGCTGAGGCACTCATGCATTCTCTGCTGTAGTCCAGAGCTCTGTGACAGAGAATTCGAAGCACCTCACCAAACTACAAATCCCAGTATTGTATAGGATGCAGCCACAGCACTTAATGTGGCATGGCATTGCTAGAACTGGGTTGTAGTCCAGAGCTCTGTGACAGAGAATTCTAAGCACGTCACCAAACTACAAATCCCAGTATTCTATAGGATGCACCCACAGCACTTAATGTGTCATGGCATTGCTAGAACTGGGTAATACTGTATAGAGAACACTATTAGGCTGAATCTCTAGCATTGCCAAGTGGAGCTAGGAAAGACAGACCCACATTTTTTTCTGTTGATCATGTGACACAAAGGGGAATGCAATTCAGCCTGCTGTTCCCCTGCCCCCTCCCCCCCAAAAATCCAAAGTTTTCCCCTCTATCACTGGGCTTCTACTTTTTTTAATCAAAAAAAGATCAATTTGCCTCAGTTCAAACATGTGATTGCTTGAACTGATGCAGAAAAGTGGCTGCACCAGCATTCATGCAGGAAGGATGAGCAAAGCCCATCAGCAAAACTGTTTTATATACAGTTAAAGGTAGAACAAGGCCTCACTCAGAATGTTGAGCAAGATTTTTCTCTTTTTATACAGCTAAGAGCGAACCCAAGTCTTTCTCAGCTTCCAAAACCTGCAAGACTTTTCCTTATTTATTTTTAAACACCTATCGTGCTAGGGTACCTAAACACAACACAACACACACACACACACACACACACACACACACAAGCTAATGGAAAACCCTTGTTACGGCTTGTGAGGCAGTTCCTTTTAATGATGCCTCCTAAGAACCTCAACAGAACTGCAAACAAGCAGCAAACAAGGCTTTTCTCCTGTCTCCCTGTGCAGGCATTTAAATCAAACACACCCAAATTCTCTAGTATGATTTCACAGCAAGTGAATGTGCACACACACACACACACACACAAAAGCTAATGGAAAACGCTTGTTACAGCTTGTGAGGCAGTTCCTTTTAACCATGCCTCCTAAGAACCTCAAGAGAACTGCAAAAAAGCAGCAAACAAGGCTTTTCTCCTCTCTTCCTGTGTAGGCATCTTAGCATAAGGCAGCTTCCTAACTCCTAACTGTCATATTTTCAAAAAGAGGAGAGGGGGAAAGCAAAAATACAACGCAAGTTTACATGAAGATGTATTCGCGAAGGCTTTCACGGCCGGGATCTAATGGTTGTTGTGGGTTTTTCAGGCTTTTTGGCCACGTTCTGAAAGTTGTTCTTCCTAACGTTTTGCCAGCCTCTGTGGCCGGCATCTTAAGAGGACCTTCAGAACGTGGCCAAAGAGCCCGAGAAACCCACAAAAACCACTAGTAGCTGGTTTTCATTCGCACATGTTCAAACTCTACATTTTATTTGACTACAAACATTTTATATAGTGAACTAAAATTATCATATTATTCCCAAACAGCACTCAAACATTTCCCATTTGAGTATCCAATTAACATTACCAGCAGTTGCCCTGCCTTATTGTGGCCAAAGGTTGGAAATATTCTCTCTCCCCCCCCCCTTCTTTTTTTTTTTTTTTTTTTTTTTATT